ATTTGTTGAATGTGGGACAGATGATGTGTTCTGTAAACCTTCACTCAACCCAAAATAAAGTTTTTGTTTTTTTTTAATTAAATGACGTATTACATTGGGTAAATGTGCTGCAAAAGATGCATGCCTGCTTGAAGTATTAGAGAGCAATGATATCAGTTTGAGGACTAAGGTGCACCTGACCGAAGCCATGGTCTTTTCAATTGCCTAATACACATGTGAAAGTTGGACAATGAATCAAGAAGACCCATGAAGAATCTATACATTTAAATTATTATGTTGACAAAGAATATTCAAAATACGGTGGACTGCCAGGACAAACATGTGCCTTGGAAGAAATACAGCCAGGATGCTCCTTAGAAGAGAGGAATGAGATTTCCTCTATCATTCTTTGGACATGTCCAGCAAGACCAGTCCCTGGAAAAGGCCATCATGCTTGGCACGGTGGAGGGTCAACGAAAAATAAGGTCCCTAACAAGACGGAATGACAACAATGGGCTCAAACTAACAACTGTGAGGACAACCAGGCCCAGGCAGTGTTTCATTTTGTTGTTAAGTGTGAGTTGGAATTAACTAGAAGGCACCTACCAACAATAACAACATCACTACAATCTAGGGTGCTAGTGTTATCAAATAAAAATCATTCTAGCCAATATTTTTCTAAGGTAAAGTGGATATTTTCCTAAACTAGGCATGGGAGTGCTAGAAATAACATAGAGAGTCTGTAAAAACCGAACAGTAAATGACTGCTCAACTCCTACCCAATCAGTGCGTCTTTGGGGTGTGATTTATACAGTGAAGTGTTTGTAACAAAAGTCGCATCGATTTTGGAGAAAAATATCAACCCAGGTAATTTTGACTTCTGTGGATAAAAGGTACATACATAAAAAGCAAACTGTGGGAGGACAAGATCATTTTTATTATCATGAAGTTTATTTATATTTAGAATGCCAACATTTTCAGGAAAGAGATTTTACATCTGCTGTTTATAATTAATGTTACAAGCCAAGTCTATTATACAGTATTTACTCTGAACTAGTTTTTGAAATCAGTGGAAAACAATACTGTGGCTACTGAAGATTGTGACGCTTGTTTTTGTTAACAATGTCAGTTTTTAAGGTCGGTATCAATTTGTTATGGCGATGCTTTACTAGGAAACACTGGATGGCTTTACCTCAAGAAGATGAAAACACACCGTGTATCATTCATTAATGACATAGTTGGAGATTGACATCTACCATCATACTCATTTATTCAAACATGTACTTTCAAATTGCTGCAGCAAAGAAATCAAAGGGGGATATGGAAAAACCATTCAAAAATAGAATTTAAGCATCTGAATTAAGAAAAATAGAAAAGCCACTGTCATCCCCAAAGGAAAACATCAGGTATTTGTACCATCGCATCATTAATTTTCAAATGTGTGCATAAGCATGCAAACACAACTGCTCCAACTAATTTAGCAACATAAAATCTATTGCGCATGATGACTGATCTTTTGCAGTGTGACTGATCTTCATGATAAGCCTATCTGGTGATTCTGAAGTACATCCCCCCAAGACTTGAGAGACCTGGAAACCGTTAGAACTACTGCAGAAACCGCAGTGCATCTCTGTGTCTGTAACACCAACCATGCCACTGAACATAGTGGTACACAGCTAGAGCGGGTCACATTCTCTCTGATACTCTTGAGTATAATACTGAAGGGGGAAATGGAATACTCAAAGAAAACTTAGTGCTTTACCAGGAAAAGAGACATGCTGGGGATGTAATTTTGTGGAAGGCTGTACTGATTATCTCCAAACAGCAACAATTAAAGAGAAATGCATTTCAACAAATGATGTCATACCCAACAGGAGGCATTTCGATATTTCAGGCACACGTCCAAGCAATAAAGCGCATTTAAAGTGCAAATCAGATATTCTCTTTCATATTTAAATTTACTTGTTAAAATACTTAGTAAGTTCCTTAGTATCTACATAAATACAATGAACAGTAGTTGATACACCTGGAAATATTGCACAAATGAAAATGAGACTCCAACAGAAAAATGCTAGAAAGTGTCAGTTAATAGGAACCTCTAAATAACTAACTGTATCATCTTTCTCTAAAAATGCTTTAAAATCACGTGCACCTGTACTGATTAACTCTTTTGTCCAAGCTTTCTTTAAAGAATTGGGGTATTTTTTCCATTAACAATCAAATATATAGTTCTGCCTACCCAATTTTCTTTCACAAATGTGAAACTTCACCAACTCCCATAGAATTTCATCCTCAGGAACCATCTTCAACACCATCCCAGAAACTAAGAGAAGCAGGGATCTGCATTCCCATGGAGGAGGACATGAAAAGAGAGTTGGCACAGAAGTAATCAAGAGAGATCTGGCCAGGTCTGAGAAGGTGACTCTCCGATGATATCCTCTCTTCCATTTCTGAGTCAACACTTCTCCCCAAGGAGCAGAATGGCCTAATATTCTTTCAGGTTTTAAAGAGAAATGTAGGCAAATACTTATATTTTGCAAGTATCCTAGCTGTTTTTCCTTCTCTAAAGTATATTATGTTTTATAATTATGTTGACGAGTTTATCATCTTCTACCAAGTAAGGCTCAATAAAGCTGAACTGATGGGTTAATATTTCTGGAAATCATCTGAGAGGAAAAATTGGGGCAGGAAAAAGACTAAAATAAACAAATTCCTGGAGTCAATTACATGTTGTTGTTGTTAGATGCCATCGAGTCGGTGCCAACTCATAGCGACCTTATGCACAGCAGAATGAAATTACATAATGGACAATAAAGATATTTCCCTCAGATTAAGAGGTTAAAAATAAATTAAAAATATAAAACATTCCTCCAAAAAATAAAGGACTTGTAAATAATATTCATTAGGCTATAATAACTTCTACATAAATCAGGAACCTATTAATTTCATCAACATTTTTTTTTTACTCTAGGGCCACAGGCTGTGATTGCATTCCGTTTGCAATATACGAGACCAGTTGTTTTCCTTCAAAATACAGGCCACGTATGGAGTTGCCTTGTCTCTGTGAATCACTTGGATAGCAATATCTAAACCAGCAACGAACTCCTCGAGCTCTCATGATTCTCTGCACAAGTGAAGTCAAGTGAGACTAGAACTTGTTTGTGTAACACTTTTATTACCAAATCCATGACTAGTTTGTGTCCATTCAATGGCAAATTCACTTGAACCATTCTTTGATACCTAAGGGAAGATCCTGTCAAAATGGAAACAAATGCCACTTTTGAAATTTCCACTCCAGCATCGCCTGTGATTGTCTCATAGAGAAAAGGTCAGACCATCTCACCAATATACACTTTCGAATGGAATCCTTAGAACACTGAGGGACTGGCTTTCTGGCCATCATTCCTCTTGATCAAAACAATACATGACCTTGGGAAGGTTATTTGTTTGAAACCTACTACTAATTCCGCTTTAAAGGAGCTACACGGAAGCAGTTTAACGATGACGTGATTTGGTCTGCGGCATGATTTGTCTCCTGCACATGGCCCCTTGGAGGCTACTGTCTGTAGCCCATTAAAAATAAATAAGCACACTGCCTTTGAAACACTTTTGATAAAACAATTTCTCTTTCCCAATTCTATTTCTCTCTAAATCCTATCTAACCTTTCAAGAAATTATCATTAAAATATGCTAAAACAACATAAGAGGGAAACCTGGAAAACTTGGGAAAAACAAAATTATTATCAATTCCAGCTTTTCTCAAGATAGTCTCACTTAAATTTGTGATGTTTCCTAAAATATTTTAACTTGTTTTGCTATACAAAATAGTTTTACATCCCTATGTGCCCATCAAAGTTTTGTGCAAACATTTCAAGTCCATTATTACAGTCTTCTGATGCTAACAGAAAGTCAATAAATAGAAATATTACAATTAAAGACGTCATTTAAAATATATGCTGCAGAATCTAAAACAGCTATCGTGGATCCATAAGCCGACAAAGATCAGAATTGAATTACCAGCAAAACTTTAGCACCAACAAATTTTATAAATTTTATAAAAATCCATAGGTACAGGTCAAAAGGGATGTCTTTAGCTGTTTTTTCCAAATTATACCCAGAAGCCAATACAAACACAAACAGTACGTGTGATTGTGGGGGGCGGGGGGG